CCTGAATTGATTCCCAATAGTAGTTTAACGAACAACCATTCTGCTAGTATATTGGTTCCTTTATATCGAGCGTCCTTCGGACCTGCTCCGAATCGGCACCTTGAATTTTGCCTTTTTCATGTTTTAGATTTCGATGTCGTCAACTTCCATAAAAGTTAAGCATCGAACACGGAAATCGAAGACAAAGATTCTTAGCTCACGAGAATGTTGAAATTCTGATTAAATCCTTATTCTCAAAAACTTTCCATTTCATTTCAAAGTTGCACCAACAGAAGAAGTCATGAAAGCGCCACTTTTGACTTTAGTGCAAATTTTCTTTGAAGCATCGACTGCTTTAACTTCTTCATTACCATGAAATTTTCTTTGCAATTCTTCTTTTCTCCGTAATGTTTAAACCTTTTGCAAATTGCATTTCCAAAGTTTCCGTTGGAAAATGGTTAAGTACAGAGAATATTGCAATTTACTTTCTCTTTCATTATTTCAAAATGAAACGTTGGCAGTTGTTTTGACTCCAGAAAAATAAGACAACAATTTCAACAACACTGCTGGTTCAATCATCACAAAACAAGATTTCCGCTCCGGTTCTTTCTCTATAATGAAAATATTAAATTCCTTAAGATTGTTGGTATTACTGTGTTAAAAATCAGAAAATCAGAGAAGCAGAGAAACAGTAGTTTAATAAACAAAACAGAAAAAATAATTTCAGAGCCCACAAGTTGTTTGTGTGTCCTTAAGGAATTTAATCCCCTCACTGTTGCCCAAGGTTTTGGATTAATTCCTCCCAGGATAGAACGGAATAACTATTCTGCAATACTGGCAATCGAAATTACAGAATTTCAGCGAACTCGACAGACGGAGCAAATCACACTTGACACTTATGTTTATTTAAAAATAATGTTGCAACAATATAGAAAAGAGGAGAGAAATTTTCAGATTTTTCAACTCTGAAAAATGAGGCCAAGCCTCTAAATTTATAGACAAAGGAAGGGTGATATGGAGAGATGCAATCCAAAAGGTGCCTCTTCCATTTCCCATTCACACCCTTTAAAGAAAAAACGCAAATTTATAGTAACTTATGACTTGTACTATCATTGTTGAAAGAAGCTGTTCTGAGACTGTTGTGATGTTCTATCACTTGCTTTAATAATCCAAGCCTGCTTAAAGGGAACTCTGTCTATTAGGATCCTATGAAGCACTGGACTTTTGATGAAGTTAGTGAATGAGTGTTTATGCTTGTTCCTTTTAAGTGTTGTTGCCATAAACTACTTAGTATGATTTTTCTAAAGCTGGAATTGTAAGTAGGACAGCAAAGCTTACCTACATAAGTATATAGTCAATCATTTGTGCTTTATACTTTCTTCTTGAATGTGTATGTAACTCTTATGAGTATTCTGTAAATGCGATGTCCCATGGAATGACTCAGAATCAACCTTTAAGCCTTCTAAGCTGTTAAAACTTTGGGAACTAGTATAACATGTGTCTGATAAAGATCATGATTTTAGAGCTCAAATATAAGTAAATCCATGATTATTTATGACTTTGCACTCCAGTAATGACTTCACTTTATAGAATGTGTGTCTGTCTTAAATCAATTGGTGCTTCTCTGTGATTGATTTCCTTGAATGTATTATGGGACCTTCTGCTAGTGTGCTTTGTGTTGGTTATGTGAGACTGTCTAAGCACCTGTTTGGTTGAGATTATAATTTGATATTTAGTTTGTGCTTAAACCTCTGAAGAAGAATGAGGCTCAATTCTAAAGGGTATTTTGTCTGAACTTGACTTTATGATTGGGGAACCCCTCCCTGGCACAATCACTACTCGGGTCCATGAGACTCTCATGAACTCTGAAGTGTCAGGGGTGTGGGGTCCAGCCCCTTAATTTAAGGAAGAAGTTTTCTTCCTTGCTTCAGTTTTCAATATAGGCAGCAGCAGCCCACGTTTTCTTTGTCTGTCAAAGAAAGTAGGCTGTAGAACATTGAAATGTCAAGTATGGGAGGCTTGTTTTTGCCTATAAAATGAGAGCAAGCTCTCATTTTTTATCATCAATCTCAAAGGAAAATATATCTGAGAACTAGAAAGAAAGAGTGAGGTTTCACAGACAGGATATAAGAAAATAGTCTGTGAAGAAAATAGAAAGTGTGAGCAATATTATAGTGAGGTGAAATATCAAAAGAGGGTTATTTCTTTTGAGTATTGTAGTGGTCTTTGTAGTATTTTACTCGGGCCTACAAAGTGTAAATTCCTTACTATAGTGATATCAGTTGCTCCTCTCGGGGTCGTGGTTTTTCCCCTATTCAGAAGGGTTTTCCACGTAAAAATCTTGGTGTCATTATTACTCTTTTATTCTTGTTAATTACCGTATCTCGGTGCTACATTATTATTCCGCTTTTATTACCGTGAATATTATTTTGGTAGGGGGTTTATTCCCAACAAGGGGTCCTTAGGAGAACCTCATAAATAAAAATGGTTCATCCCAGTCCCATAGTCATTGACCTAAATTAATTTACATAGGATTAGTATAAATAAAATTTGGCCTTTATGTATTTCTTCAGTTCCTGTTCACATTTATTGTAAACTCTATCTTACTTTACATTATATTTAGATGTGCTAATAAACTCTTACTCTTTCCTTTGCAGGATCATTGGGCCTGCTGAGTTCATTGAGAACTCAGGCCTAGGTTCAGAGAGTCGGGATGCTTCCTTATCACATGTTGAAGTCCACTAATGCTTTGAATCTAGCTACTTTGTCAGCCTTCCTTCCCTTTATCTAAAATAATTGTTGTTGCTATTGTCTTTCTTTCTGTGTATATGAACTAATGCTAATATTAAAAATTCATTATTATCTTAATTTTTTAGGCATACTTTAGGCAAATCAGAACCTAATAGGTAAAAGATAATTGTGGCTTCAAGGATTATTCGTTTTAACAACCTTAACACTTTTGAAATCTTAATGTTTTGAAACTAATTATTTTGGCAACTAATCTTTCTTTCACTTGCATATCTTTTCTAATGAGTTTTGTTTGGTTTTATGCATCGACGGAATTTAAACGAGTTTAAATGAAAACAACTCCTTTGAAAGGTTTTCAAAAATGGAACATTGGAGATTGAACTGTTCTAACACAAAAACGCAATCATACATCACTGATTTTTTTAGAAGTACCAAGACTAAGAAGTCCTTTTGGAAAATATAATGGTCTTTATTAAAACAACCTCCAAATAAATGGATCAAGTATACCAGTTTTGATAAATGCATAAACACATTTTCTTGTAATAACCCCTTATTTTACTAAGATTTTTAAACAAATCTTACCATTTCTAAAGGGAATATACTTTCTTTACAAAAGATGAGCCTTCAAACATGAATCAATATGATTTTTACTTATACAAGGCTTTTCATAAAAAAACCATTTAGTAATTTTAATCAATTAATCAACTAGGACATATATAATTCTTTCCCCGTATCTACCTTAATTTTTAGGAACTACCTCGCGTAGATTTTAAAGGATGTCTAACACCTTCCCCTTAGAATAATTGGAACCTTACCCAAATCTCATTAGTTAGTTGACCATTAGGACAATGACCTTATAGACTTATATGTACCCTAGTATACCTCTAAAATTATTAGGTGACGACTCTTTTTCATCAACTTCAGAGGAATCACTAGTTGTATTTTATTTTGACCTGTGCAAAATAGGGTGCAACACTCGTCACCTTGCATCTCACATATTTCAATTAGACAAAAAAAATTATCTCCTAAGGGTTATTCCCTCAACAAGATTAGGTAAGATACTTACCTCAACCGGGCTAGTCCGAAACTCCAAAGCCTCATTCCTTGTGAAATCACCTCTAATGGGATCAAATATAGCCAAACATCGACTAGGAAAGTCAACCAATGCAGGAAACGATCCTAATCCATAAAACTTCGATCTTTGAAGTCCTAAAAGTCAACCCGAGCTCGCATGCCCGAAATTCGGAACCAATACCAAAATTCGATGATCTATGACCTGCAGAATCCAAATATATGATTAGATTCTAAAACCGAATCCAAATCGGTACTCAAAATCCCAAAATACACTTTCTTAAGGTATAGGCAAAAATCCCATTTTTTTCCTTTAAAATTCCATGATAAAGTGTACAAATCCATGGAAAATGAAGATATATAATATGATCTAAATAGAAATTACTTACCCATAAAGTAGTAGTGAAAATTCTCTCCAAAACCGCCTTTTCATGAGCTCCAAAACTAAAAATAGTGAAAAATAAGCAATTCCCGAACACGTAGAACCAAGTCCTTCCTCGTGAACGTGGCTAGACCATCACGTTCGTGATGCACATCTGCCCTTACCCTTCGGGAACGCGGTAAACCATTGCGAACACGTAGAACCAAGTTCCTCCAGCTCATAGCCCCTTCGCGAACGCAAAGCACAAAAATCGTGCCTGCCAAAAATACTACGCGAACGGGGTTAGTCCTTCACGATCACGAAGAACATCAGAGACCTCCGAAAACCAGCAATGCTATCAACATCCGAAATGGTCCGAAACCACTCCGAAATTCACCCGAGCCCCTCGAGACCCCATCCAATCAAACCAAAGGGTCCAAATACATTATCCAAACTTATCCAAAAAGCTCAAAACATCATAAATAACATCAAATTAAGAATTGAAGATCAAGATCATTCCCTTAAATTTCAAACCTTCAAACTTTGTTGAACATGTCTGATTCATGTTTAACCATTCCGGATCACAATCAAACTTTGCATACAAGTCCCAATCAACAAAACGAACGTATACGAGATTAAAAACAACAATATGAGTCTGATAGCACCGAAGTCAACTCCCAGTCAAACCTATGAACTTTTCAAACCTTCAAATTGTCAACTTTCGGCAAATATAAGCAAACCATCTAGGAACATCCAAATTCAAATATGAACATATACTCAAGTCCAAAATTACCATACGAACCTATTGAAACCAACAAATCCTGATTCTGTGGTCGTTTACTCAAAAGTCAAACCTTGGTCAACTTTTTCAACTTAAAGCTTCCAAATTGAGAATTACTCTATTAACTCAATTCCAAACTATTCGAAAATAAAAACCAACCATGCATGCAAGTTATAATACACCATAAGAAGCAGCTCGAATTCTCAAATCATAGAACGAGATGCTAGAACTTAAAATGACTGATCAGGTTATTACGCATTGATGTATCATCTATGTCAGGCAAGTGAGCATCAAACGGATTGGAGGTATTTATAATATCAATTTTGAACAAGTTCAAGTGTTCACTTGAAAATTCGTGGAGTAAAGGGCCGGGATTTTGAATTGGTATAATTACATGTATCTATTAGACTATTCTGCCTTGTTAAAAAGCTAAATAAATATGTACTAATCAATAAAATGCAGAACAGATAAAAATAAATTTAAAACAACAAAGAAAAAAAATAAGAAGCAGAAAACGAGAAGTCCAACGAAGAAGTCTCCCCGCCGCAGAAGGTCAGGAACAGCATATTCCCGCCCAATAAAATGCCTCTGTTTCCTTCATATTTTGCTACCCCTCAACCATTCTTTCTGATTCTGTCTGATATCAATCCGTTACATCATCGCCTCTTTCCTCCTTCTAACCGTCGAGCTCATAAAGGCCTAAAATATTAATTACTAACTCGTTGAAACAAAGGCAATTTTCTCAATCGGTGTTTTCCTGATCTGAACAGACCATTCGATCCATTGTTTGGAAAAAATGGGAGCATGTGCAAGCAAGCCTAAGGTCTTAGAAGGTACCGCTCCCGGAAAAGTTCCGGCGCCGGAAGTGGCCTCCAGCGGTAATGTAGCTGATGTGGCGGCGGAAGAAGGAATTGTGGGTGATGATAAACGCCAGTCTCTCGGTAATTTGTTCAAGGAGGTATTCATATTTTACGGTGGCTCTCTCTATTTCTCTGTTTAAATTTATGTCAATATATAACAAACAATATATATATATATATATATATATATATATTGTAATGTTGCATGTATTGTCTTGACGTTGATATCTGAAAATTCACCTTTTACATTTTTAGTGACGCACTACTAATTTCAAAAGGCTTTATAAAAAGCTGCATTATGTACGTGTCAAGATGAAACTTTTTCAACTTTTCACATATTTTTCATGCAATTGCTTTGACATTAGCCTAGTTTTTCAATGTTAAAAAAGAAAGCTATATAATATGCATTATCTTGGAATTTAAAAGGCGGCTTGACATGTTCAAGAATGACGCATTATATTATTATATTTGGAAACTCTTTAATTTTAAAGTTTTTATTTTTATTTTAATAGTATATGCCAAAATAAAATTTGAACTTTGTGCCCAACTACCCAAGTCAAACACATCATATACAATGAAACAAAGGAAGTTATTGTTGATTAATTTATTTGCATCTCGCTAAATCCTGATATTAATTCGCCGATGCAGAGTGAAGAAGGGAAAAACTCAGAACAAGTGAAAAAGGAGACATCTACCACACAAGCTTCTGAACCATCGGAACCCCAGACAGAAGAAGTTGTGACGGCACTTGATGCCCATATAACGACTGACACAACAAAAGCACCAGAAGTAGAGACCCCAGATGCTAAAACATCGGTTGAAAAGGCAACAGAAGAAGTAAAATCAGAAACCGAGACTCCTACAGAGCAGAAAGTGGAGGAAGAAAACTCAGAAACAGAGACGAATATTGAGCAAGTAAAATCTGAAACAGAGGGCACAGAGGCTTCTGCAGAGAAGAAAGAAGAGGAAGTAAAAGAAGCAGTGGAGACTCAAGCAGAGAAGAAAATAGAAGAAAATCCCGTAACAGAGGCAACAAAATCTGAAGCTCTAGTAGAGAACAAAACAGAAGAGAAGCCAGCTACGGAGGCAAAGAAACCTGTCATTGAAGAAAAGAAGTCAGGCAAATTTTGGTGGGACAAGTAAATCATAACGCAAATGGTTCCTTAATTACTTGAAGGGTTGCATGTGTGATTAATTCAGATGGTATGTCACTGATTTCATGTTGAACAAGTTGTTATGAGCAAAAATTAATATTTCATTGTTTAATACTATCATTCTCATTATCATACTACGTTTTCATCTCGTTCATTACCACATTTGACATTATCTATTTTTAATTTGGTATATGAATAAGAAAAGTATTTTATATTCTTGTTCATCATTCATGAAGCTAAATTTAACACTTTAGTCGATATAGAAGACCGTAAGAGGGGTGAATTGCAATTTATTTGACTTTAATTGTTCTAATAATCTTTTGAAATTTAACTTTCAGTCAAATGCAACCCATCACAATTTATACTCTTTAAATATTTTTAACAAAAAATTTTAATCCAAAATTAGATATTTAGGATAAAGCAATTAAATTCGTAGTTGAAGGCTAAAAGCCATAAATTCAATCCAAATAATAACTACTCCCTACGTTTGAAAAGAATTGGCATCATTACTGTTGAAAGTCTACCACGTTGTTCCTTGATCATATTTCTCTTAAATATTTTATAAATATTATGAATTATAAACTAGAGAACTTGTCCGCGTTTCGCGCAATCATAATAAATATCATATAATATAAAATAAATATGTAATTCTTAGTTGAGTTATATGTTAAATACATGAATGTATTATATGCATTTAATTTGTTCTTTTCACTAAATAGTAAAACATTTAATAAAAATGAAGTGAAAAGTAAAGAAACTAAAAATAAAAAAGAAAATCTCTCTATTTTTTGTATTGATCTTCTTTTTCTTTCCTTTTCAATTCCCTAATCTTTCTACTATTTTTTTCTCTTTTTCTCTCTATTCCTATCTTATACTGCCTCTACAAACTATTTTTCTTTTCTTTCCTTCTATTTCTTTTCCCTACAGTTGCTTTTTCAATTTGCCTCATTAAATTTAACATTTTGGTAATATATTATTCATAAACCTTTAAAAAGGGGGAAAATCTTAATTTCTTTTACCACATCCAATTTAATTCTTGGGAGTTACTATATATACAAAACCTTAAATAAAAGAATCGAAAATAATTAAAACTGTTACACTTCTAATTAGGCAAGAGAAAAAGTGATGAAAAATAATTGGTCATTTTAGTTTTGGAGAAGTGGTACGTTATATCTCTATAAGTTAGATACAAATCGTATTCTTCACGCAATGACCTATAATCTATTAGTAAAATACAGCAAAATATAAGAACTTCTATACCATATATTTTCTATTCTCCAAAACAAAACAAAAAACAAATAAGAAAAATGCTTGTAACACCAGAGTCACCATTGTGACACTATGATCCATATACAACACACACAAAAATAAAACAGCAAAAGTGACTTGAAAATAGAAGTTTCATACAAACCACAAAAGTAATAAAAATTCATAGAAAAGCTTACCAAAATTAATCATGTATCATTAAAATAAAAGCTTGCCAAATTTCTTCACCGGCTCTTGGAACTTTATAGAAAGATATTTTTAGTATCATCATCATCTTGACCTTGGATTACTCCGTATACATAAACATTGTCTAATATGTATAAGTGTAGATGCACAAGCATTTGCTGAAATATTTGGTTTTACTCTAATTTTAACATGTAATACGGAATACTGTTAAAATGAAAAGAACTTGAAAACTCACCAGTTACATAGTTCAAATAAAATCAGAGACCACAATATATAGTTGGATTGGAAATTGAGTGGTCAAGCAGAGAATTGAAAAGATCATAATATAGATAACAGATTAAATACAATTTAATACTAATAATTATATAATTACTTCTAATAACGATTGGAAAAATGAAATAAAGAGCTTTCATTGGATTTGTGAAGAAAAATAAGAAGAGTGGGCAGAAACCATTTCTCATTAGAATGCTAATACTCATTCATCAGCTTTATTTTACACATTTTCTTCTTTAAGTCATTAAAGCTGCTTATTTTGCCCAATTAAATTGAATCCCTTCCTCTCCCTTATTTAATATTCATAATTAGTGTATATAATGAACGATGTAATTCAATTCCAAAATTTCCTCCTCTTCCGTTATTTAAACTCATAACAGTAATTATGTAGGAAAAATATTTTAATAATGAAAATTATACTAAAATTAGGATGAAAGTCCAGAAAACAAGAAAAAAGATAAATAAGAATGTTGGCTTTAAAGGACTGCCACATCATCTTGCCAATTCCCACCTTTATATATATATATATATATATATATATATTATGACTTCTTATACTTTTTATGTGATTTTCGAAAATATAAATTTTATTTTCAAAAACATAAAGAATCTATGTTCAAATTCAAAGTTAAAATTAAGTACTTTGACCCTCGTACTTCGAACTATGTCAATCTTTTTAAAACAGAGATAACTAAGGTAAAATATACGATAAAGCAACAAATTATTGTCACAACCGGTAATTCTCACCCTCGGGACCGTGATGACGCCTAACATTTCACTTGCTAGGCAAGTCAACGTTAGCTATATTTATTAACCATTTTTAACAATTTTCAAATTAAACGACAATGATAAAACTGAATAGTCTGAAATAAGGAAATAAACTAATAAGTGACAAAATCCAAATACAAACCTTGGAACTGATGTCACGAATACATGTGCGTCTAGAGTACTACAGATAATGGTCTGAAATAAGCATAACTATCTGAATCAAAATAAGCAGCTAAAATGATATAGAAGGGGACTTCAGGGATGCGGATGTCATGCAGCTATACCTCAAGTCTCCGTTAATAGCTAGATCCAAGCAACCCCACTCAGTGCACTGGGACCAACTTTGGTATCTACACAAGAAATGCAGAGTGTAGTATGAGTACAATCGACCTCATGTACTCTCTAAGTGCCGAGCCTAACCTCGACGAAGTAGTGATGAGTCTAAGGCGGGTAACTTACAATAACATGTATGCAATAATAATAACAGAAAAGGCACGAATGAAAATAAAGCAGTTAATTCATAACAACGAACTCAAAATCCAACTACCGTAGAGCCCAGAATAACAAGTCATATAAACGCATCTCAAATACCAAGGCCAATCCAACAGACACAAACAAATATAACTTTATACAATCCATTGCAGCGTGCAACCCGATTCCACCATATCATCATCTGTCAATATCATAATCCGTCCTTATTTCGCCATTTCAATTCATTACCTTTCAATTTCTGTTACGGCGTGCATCCGCTACCCAAACAATTTTAATCAACAATAACAAATCAACAACAAAAATTTACAAGAAGCTTTACATCAAGAGAGTAAATATACGAGACAATGAAGGATCACATAATACTCAAGGAATCTAAAATAACTCGAATGTTTCAACTTTACCAACTCATCGATAACTACCAATTAACAACTCATACACTTGAATCTACATTATAGAAGGCAACAAATTTTACAAAACTATAAGACAAGCAAGACATAGGACAAGTTAGATATGCAAGAAAAGCAAATAGAGATTATTAGTAAATAAGCACGGAATTATGAAAGGAATGAACAATTTAATACAAGGATAACTAAATGACAAGTAATAATTATGACTTGGAAGTCAAATAAACATATAGCAATTAAGGCATGTAACAAGATATACCAAGAAGTAATGAAAACATGGAATCAAGTAACACAACGACATATATATACTCGTCACCTCGCATATACGCCGTTTCACACGTAATTCACAAAACATGTATCTCAAGGGTTCCTAATTCCTCAAATCAAGGTTAGAATCAACACTTACCTCACTCCCCAACTCAAGCAATCAATCAACTACGGCCTTGCCTTTTGAACAAGCCTCCAAACCAACCAAATCTAGCAAATTATAAACTAAATTATTCAAAATAAGATTTAGAAACTACCCACAAAGAGAAGAGGTTCAATTTAGATTATTTTTGAAAAAGTCAATAAAAGTTAACCCCGGGCCCGCTTGATCAAAATTGCGATTCAGACTAAAACTCGATTACCCATTCACCCCGAGTCTGGTTATGTGATTTGTTTCGAAATCTAACCCCAATTCGAGATCTAAATCTGAAATTTATAAGAATCCTCAATTCTACCCAAATTCCTAATTTCTATCATGGAAATCCTAAATTTGATGTTGAAATCTCATGAAATATAGTGGGTAATTGAAAAGAAATGGATTAAAATAACTTACCAATGAATTTGGGAAGAAAGTCTCTTGGAAAATTGCCTTCTAGGATGTTTAGGGTTGAGAATTTGTGAGGAATGAGCTAAGTCCTGTTTTTCCATCTTTTACTCGGCTGCAGGTGTCGCAATTGCGAGACAAGGATCCAAATTCGGTTATCATAGAAGATGGACTTTCCTATGTTTCTTGTGAAGAGTATGACGGCTATTATGAATCAAATGCTAGCCAAGCCTTTAAAGAATCACATCAGATATGTGAAGTTCTTGAAGATGAATCCCAAGGATCTTATGATGATTATTGTAGTGATGAATTTTCTGATTATTATGAGATTAGTTATGATGATGAATATACTAATTATGTTGGGGTTGGGAGTGTGAGTCATATTAAACATACTGCAATAAGATCTAGTTTGGGAAAGTGTCCTAGAAAAGGACATGAGCTGGTTTAACTTAACAATATCTTTCAAATTAGAGTGGAAGTATTGTTTAATATGTGTGCTACTAAGATTGACAAAAATGTTCTTCATAACTTAGTAATTGCATTATTGAAAAGGTGGGATTATCTTGTGTTAAGCATTATTAACCCTGCTTTTTAAAAGGAGTAAAAGCAGAAAAGAGGGTGTTAGTGTCATTTTATCTTGGGAGATACAAGGATGAGATTTGGTGTGATGTGGTTCCCTTGTACACTTGTCACATCTTGTTGGAAAAATCATGGTATTGCTATAAAAAAACTTCATATGATCAAGAAAAGAATAGGTATTCCTTATTTTAAAAAATAATGGAAAAATGAGTGCGCTTGTATCTTTAACACCTAAGAAGATTCAAGAAGATAAATTAAAGGTGAGGAGATCAGTGGAGGAATTTGAGAAGAAACAAAAATGCAAGAGGAAAAACAAAAGTAGGATTCAGAATCTAAAAATTAGAGTTGATGTTAG